TTGAGCAGACACCCTTTTATATGGATACACAAACCCGAGCTTTTTCTCGTTCGGGTCTTGGGCGACGGGGCAGAGGCCGTAGCTTTCCAGCCCCACACATGCATCACTGATTTGACCCTAGACCCACAAGAATGGAACTGGGCCCCTGCAGGAAATGAGCCCCAAGCCCCAAGCCCCCAATCTACTTTCTTTGCGAAATCTCTCAATTAAATCGACTTACAAGCTCCTCAAGCCCAAGCGGACACTAGAAGACACAATAAAAGACACATGGGCCCGACACCTAAATGTGGATCCCCAGTTGCTAACACCGATCCCCTAGTTTCAGGAACGTAAAGCCAAGCCAGCCAAGGTTACTTCACTATAATGGGAGATTGCCCACCGTTGCTGCAACGGGCCTCTATCTGCCCTGGCCTACAACCAGGGCGTATTCGGTTATCTGCGACTTCGGCTTGTGGGACCAGGCCATGGCCTGACCCCACATGCCATGTACTGTTTCAGTCCAGTCCAGTCCTGCCCGGTACCACTATCAGTACCAGGCCAGTCCAGTCAGTCCGCTGGGGGTATACCCCAGCTGCAGTTTGTATTTCGTCATTCCTCACTTTTGCACATCTTGGAGTACGTGCGTGTCAAGTCTGCATCGGAGCTGCGCTGTCCTTTCCAGCTCTATCTCTACCTCCTCATTTGTCAACCCTTCTTCTCCATCCTGACAGACCGCCATCCCGGTGGGTCCGACACACCGGTATCAGAGCGGGAACGGTCCCCGCTCCAACCCGCTTGCCCTCCCGTAATAGGGAGAAATCGGTGTAATCTCAATAGCGGGATTTTTAGGGTTTTGTAGGGCTAAAACAGCGAAATAACGACAAAAAAGCAGCAAGGTCGCAGCATGCGCGCGCGCCCCCACGCTGCTCCGCTGCCCCACCGCGCCCCACTCCCAAATTATTATTATCAAGATCTGAAATGCTGCAACTGCCAAGGTTTAAACCTGGGCAGCTGCTGCTCATGCACGTGTGTGGCCAGTGCCTTAACACACTGGCGAAAGCCACAATATGAACTGATACTGTGGCATGCTGCTGTTGAAGAGGTGGTACAACAACTATTTGCCATCTTGGTCTCGCCTTCCTCTTGGCACATTCTTGACCCCATAGGGGGTAGGAAAATGCTGCCGAAAATTTCAAAAAAATAACTATCACTTCTCTTTTCACATTTTGTTTATTTATTTATTTTTATTTATTTATTTATTATTTTTATTTTGAAATTTCATTGTTTATTTTATTTTCTCTCCCCCTCCCCTCCATGGTTATTATTTTCTTTTCTTGATTAGGTCACCGCTACCCTCCCCTAACCACCCAAACCCCGGTTAGGGTTTTCTTAGTTTTTTTTTAAGGTTTAGGGTTCTCCTACCCCCCCCTTCTATCTCACCTCCTCCCGTCGGGCAACCTGGACCCGAACGGCTCCTCTCCCCTCGACCGGATTCGTGCCACCATCTCACGCGCGACCCACTAGTCACGGGGCGAGCCCACCCACGACTACCCACTCCGCTCTCGCGGTCCCCTCCCTCTCACCGGTGGTTCCCTTTCCCCATACCACAACCTATCTCTCCCCCCACCTCCCACCATGTAGACCTCTCTTCCTCGACCGCCCACGGACAGAGCTACAACTAAGGAGATTGTCGCGGCACCGTCCACCTCTCAGGCGTCCACCCACCCGACGGTCCAGGGTCAGCACGTTGTGGACCCCACGGACCTTCGCGTTGTTCTTGCGTCTTTCCTTGCACCTCTGCAAGCACGACTCGATGCGCTTGCACCTCTGGAGAGGCAAGTTAATGCGCTCGCCCTTGAAGTTCACCGCCTCAAGGGTTCTCCTCATTGCTCTCCCCATTGCTCTCAGACCCCATCCCCTACCGACTCTGAGTCCGGATCTCCATGACTCCAGGGACGGAGATGTGGTGGTTCGTCCTCCTCCACGGGCCAGGCCCAACACTCCGCCTCCGCAGTGGTGAGTGCTGCCGCCGCTCAGACCATACCGTCTGTTGTGGCACATCCATTGGCCCCCGCTGCTCCCGCCTCCCCTGTCGCTTTGGCCATTACCGTATATGCTGTCGCCCTGATATCGGTATCTGGCCAGACAATTTCATCTACTCACCCCGGTGCCGCTTCCCAGTTTCCTGTACAGGTCGTGGTACTACGGCCCGGAGTTCTTCCTCCTCTCCCTAGGGTATTCTCTCCGCCCCCTCCACCTCCCACCCCGTGCACCCAACGGGCGGCTACCCTACAAGCCACCGTGGTGCAGCTCCAGGCGGAGATTTTATCCCTGAGACAACCTTACCCTTCACAGGTTGCTCACCCTTCTTCTTCTTATACCGCCCCTCTCACCTCTGTCTTGCCGGCTCGTTTCCCTCGACCGACTCCCCCCCATCTACCCTACTACCTCGCTACTCCGTCACAGTTGGCTGCGGCTGTTGCCTCCACGTCTGCTGGACCGTCCACCAACAACCTCGACTCTCAGCCTGCTACCACTTCCACGTCTGTACCGGCCTCGACATTTGCTGCCGCAGTGCAGGCCCCTCGACCTCTCTCCCCTCGCCGTCAGCACAACGGTCCCACCCTTGTCCGTCTGTCGGACATACCCGACTTCGATGCTACTATGCGTGTGCTGCCACTGACTGATACTCGTCAGGAGTTGTGGTGCTTCACGCTCGCAACTAAATTATAAGGCAACACGTTCTCTACATGGGAAAACTATTATTCCCATCGTACTCTCGCAGGTGAGGCTCCTACACTCGCAGATTTCACCTCGTTCCTCCATGACCGCTACATCACTCTCCACGATGCGACTGACGTCGTAGATCGGGTCACCCAAACGCAGTGGCACGGGTCCTCCGCATCAGCCGATCTTGAGCGTCACATTAGAGTGTTTCAGGACACCCGCCTCATTTGTGATGAGGCACTTCTACCTAAGGTCCTTTTGACCAACAGGTTCGTAGTCAGTCTGCCGACTGACTACCACATCGAGCTCTGGCGACAGGGCTTCGCGTCCTCAGAGGAGGCCTACGAGGCTGCTCGACGGTACCAGAAGATGCGCAGTCACTTCTCCGGCACCCCATCTTCTTCGCGATCCACCGCCGCCACCACCCAGTCACGCAGTGCTACTCGCGGCCGATCCTCCTTCGCCGACCGCTTTCGCCGACCAGATCGACCTGGAGCGCTATTCTCTCGGCGCTACAGTTCTCTGGAGTACGGTGTGGACACCTTGGCCGAGTTTGACCCGACCCTTGGGGATGCCCCCGAGGACATCGAGCTCTGAGACATCATCCAATATCACTTGGATGACGACACTGTTCCGGTGGCCGAGCGTCTGCAGATGACCATGTCCGCCATGGGTCGTGCACGTATTCGGGTTGCACAGGCTGGCGCCCGCACGATCATGGTTCCTCAGATAGACCTCCCGTAGGGTTTTGTTCCTCCTCGCGGAACTCTATCTCCTAAGGAGCGCGCCATCCTTGAGGCCCGTCGCGGCTGCCTTCGTTGCTGCCAGGATGGATACACCTCCTCACGGTGTCCATACCATGCCGCCCTCGATCGACACTACGCTGATATTTCTCGTCAACGTCGATCTCAGTCTCCCCCCGACCCCACCCGGCCAGCCCCACCCAGCTAGCCACGATGCAGTGTACCGCCGATGCCTCGCACGTAACCGGCTTCCCGGGCACCGAGTCGCGGTTTACCCCTTTGGCTACCCCACCAGAGGATCCTCAGAACGTGATAGACGTAATTCCCTTTGCCTTGCCGTTTGTCGTGGTACCGTCTGCCCCACTGCAGACCGCTGCATCTAGTCCTTCCCCTCCGAGACTTCCGACATGTTGCGCCATTCACACAACTCATTGTAGTGCCCAACTGGCGACTCACGATGACGTTGTGTCATCTCTCCTGGATTTGAACATTCTTCAGGCTCGCCTGGAGCGACTCATGACACACGTAAAAGTCCTGCGTCGTCTTATCGCTCCGCTCTCTGACCCTGATCGCACCCTCCCCATCATCCCTATTCGCCTGGGGACATCTACGAGGGTGTACCGTGC